TCAGTGGTGTTGGACCCTGAAGGCGGGAGATGTGGTGCAGGGTGGTGTGTGCTGAGACTTGTCCAGTGGTAAGCTGCAGGAGGAACATCTTTGGGGATCATCATCTCCCTGTGTCTCACATCTCATCCCAGCCCCAGTGTGTGGGGTGCACTCTCCACTCTCCTGTGTCTGTAGCTTTTGCTCTTCAGGATGCCAGCTGTCCCAAGCTGTACCACTATTGTCCATAAGCCGAGGAGGCCACCTTGGGGCATGGTACGGACTCTCGTCCTTGCAGGTGAAGACTGAATGGATGGTGGTAGAAGGATACACTGAGATTCTGATTTGGAGGGAGCCTGGAAATGAGGGGGGTCTGTTAAGAGGGGGGCTGGTACTKTTCAGGCAAGAATCAGTAAGAATGTAATTTGTATTGATTTCTTGGGAGGAAGGTCTCAGAGTGTCTACTGCTGACAGCCGGGAGAACTTTCCGCTGGGCAGGGTCATTCTTTTTACCCGTTCTTTTTGTCAGCTGTGAGCGTACACAGCAGCTCTCCTTTTCTGCACAGAGAAAGGTGCTGTCGTTGCCCTGGTGTGTGGCCTTGGTGACCTGCCTTTCATCGTTTCCTGATTGGCCATTGTTGTGGATGTGGAAAAGAAGTTCTTGAGCATGCGAACAGCAGCGGGTGCCTAGGAGCTTGGTTGTGGCCTTGTCAACAGGGACACAGTCGGGAATGGTGATGAGTGTGCAAGGTGGAGGCTCATTCTCACCCCAACATGGGATTGTTGCTCAAGTTTATCTGGTGTCATCACAGCCTGTGGGCCCTGAACTTTTTTTGTTTTGGCAACCAACCAAGATTTCATAAAAATGTCACGTAGGAGTGGAGTGTGGTGATTCATGCCTGTAATCCCAGCTCATTGGGAGGCTGAGGCAGGAGGATCACAAAGTCAAGGTCAGCCTAGGAAGACTGTCTCAAGATAAAATTTTAAAAAAGGGATGAGGATGTAGCTCAATGGCAGAGTGCTCCTGGGTTAAATCCATAGTACCCCCCCCCCCAAAAAAGTCATGCACATCTTTGACCTTGGACAATAAAAAGGGGGCAAGTATATTCTAGGAGGAGGAGTATACTTGCAAATGACCTTGAGTTTGGGGAAAAATGTACCATATCACACTCACCCTCTTGTGGGACCCTGGCTACCCTGGTGCTTTAAAATGTGTGGTCTTGTGTGTTTCTTTCAGATCCTGACTCTGCAGACAGAACAGCCCAGAAAAGAAAGTTCCCCCAGCCCCCCACATTCTTCCAATGGCCACTTGCCGCAGGACACCTCTACAAGCCCCATTAAAAAGAAAAAGATGCCCGGATTACTGAGCAGCAACAGCAAGGAGCAGGTAAGGCCACAGCTGGGCATGGCGTGGCAGCAGGCCGGCAGCAGGCCGCCAGGGGGCAGCAGTGCTCCGTTTCTCGGAGCCGGGCTTGGCATCTTTTAGCAGGCTGCCCTGGTGCTGCTGTCATTTGCATATGTAGAAAGGGCAGCTCAGAGGGGCCTGTGAGAGGTTTCCAGCAGGTTCTCAGATCTTTTTGGGGACAGAGCAATGACCCAGAGGAGATGAGGATATTGTTCTTGAGGGGCTGGGGCTTCTCCTTGGCTTCATGTTTCTATATTCTTAGGACTGTTTTCCCGGGTGGCCTGAGGATTTCCCCTGCTGACCAGTGCTGGGCAACATAGCTCCCTRCTGGTCTCGTTTTCTCATCTGTAAAATGAAGGGTGTGGGCCCCTGGTAGAGGCATGGCCCARGGGTCACCTCCCCTTCTCCTGAGCACAGGCTCCCTGTCCCCTTGGCTGACAGGATTGTCAGAGGCTCGGGAAAACCTCTTCACCATCCTGGGTCTCATCTAGGGAAACTTCTGGCTTTAAAATTCTCTKGTGCAGCTTAGACATTCCAAATAGGGAACGTGAGAGCACTGTGGACTCACTGGCGGAAGTGTCCACCCCTGTGTGGACTGTGAGGTCAGGGGGCTTTGAGTGCTTCTTGAATTAGACGAGATTGCTGCCTTCACAGGAAGAGCCCTAGCCACGTTAAGTGCCCGGGCCTGGGAGAGACGTGTGTTCAGCGCAAATCTATTTTCATTCTCAAAATTAATTAATTTGCTGAGTCTGGCTTTGAACTTGGGATCCTCCTGGTGGAGCACACCTGGCCCCAGGGCGGGGATTTAAGAAGACCTTTAAAATACTTTATTTTGGGCTGGGGATGTAGCTCAGTGGTAGAGCTATTGCCTGCCATATAGGTAGGTTCCCTGGGTCCCCTCCCCACTACCAAAAAATAATAAAATAGAAAAAACCTCAACCCACAAAAACACAAACTAGCACTTTTCGCGGCAGTCCTTGCTTGAAGTAGGCAGTGTATTGACCACTGGGATAGTTGGTGGGGCCCCCACAGGTTGGCCTGGGCTCTGCCCACCATCCCACTCACGTCCAGGCTGGTGAGGGTTCCTCACTCTAGGGTCCGGCTGGTTCCACGGCTGTGTGGCTCTCACAGGCTTTGCAGTCAGCCGCACTCCTTTGCAAATGCAGGACAAAAGCTGATGCATGGTGCTGTTACTCATCTGTGCCACCTGAGTGGCCTCTGCAGGCATTTGAACTTGTGGCCTCCACTCTACCACACATATGCAGGTCCAGAGCACCCGTTCTCGGGTGGATGTAGACAACGTGTTGGTGACTGCCACCTGTGGCCCAAGAGCCTGTTTTTATAAAGTTTTATTGGTGCACAGCTCTGTGGCTACACTGGTATATTGTCTGTGTTTCTGCACTGCGTGGCCAGAGCTGAGCACTGTCAGTAGAGACCAAATGGCCTGCCAGGCCTCACTCACCTCTTTATAGAAAGTGTTTGCTGGCTCTTGATGTGCACGAAGAGATTCCAGAAGTGAACCGAAGGGTCTTTCCCACTCTTCTTGTCATGCCAGCCTGTGGAAGGGCAGAGAATAAGAACATGTGCTCTCAGGACCTGTAATTGTCCCATTGTATCACAGGTTGTAACCTGACTGCTCTGCTCGCAGGCTGCTTCCCTGTGGGGAAGAAAAAATCGTAACTCATTTTGCCTGAAAATGCTTTTCCTTTTAAAAGTGTTCCATATTTGATATCAGATTATTATTATGGAGGAGGTAACACTTACAAGCAGCAGATAAGGAAAGGATCTGATTGACAGGTGATTAATCAGGCAGCTGGTTCTCAGCACCCAGGGCTGCTMCAGGAGAGGAGGGAGTCTGGAGACTGGACTAGCCCAGCTGCCCCCATCCTCTGGGGACAGCCACCCAGGACAGTGGGGTGGGATAGTGAAGGGGTGTGAGAGAAACTTCATGCTGAAGGATCAGTCACCTGGCTTCTGCTCAGTCCCCAGCACCAAGGAAACAAAAACAAGACCAAAAGGATCTGGCTTGTATTTGACAATAGATGTAGTTGCAAGTAAGGGAGGTTCACTGTCACACTAGACTCTTCCTGTTTTATTACCATTGTTATTTTTTTGGTAGTGGGGATGGGAACCAGGGGTGCTGAACCCTGAGCCATATCCCTATCCCTTTTTGTGATTCATTCATTCATTTATGGTGCTGAGGATTGAACTCAGGGCCTTGTGCATGCAAGGTAAATACTCTACCCACTGAGCTGTATACCTAGCCTTTTTTATGTTTTATTTTGAGACAGGGTCTCAGTAGTCACCGAGGGCCTTGCTATGTTGCTGGCCTGGCTTTGGAACTTGTGATCATCCTGCCTCAGCCTCCTGAGACTCTGGGATTATAGGTGTGCACCACCACACCCGGCCCCAGCCCTTTTAAAAGAAGTTTTTTGAGACAGGGTATCTCTAAGTTGCCCAGGCTGTCCTCGAACTTGAGATCCTCCTGCCTCAGCCTCCCAAGTTGGAATTACAGTTGTGTACCAAGCTTTCTCAATCACACCACTAGTTACCAGGCTGTGTGATGCTTCCTGTGGCCTTGATCATAGATTTAAATAGAATTCCATATTGGAGTGTGATGGYGGTTTTCCTAATGAGTTTCTTCTGAGTGATTTTATGTGTTTGGAGGATGGCTTTCCTGTATTTCTGGTGTACCTGKACCTGCCACCATCWCATCTTCCTGTGTTGTTTGTAATGAAGGCTGAGGCTCTCTGGCAACTCCAGGGGCCTAAAGTGTTCAAGAGATGTGATTTGAGGAAGGTTCTGGTTGGTTCACGACTTTGTACCTTGGGGATGGCCTTAAAAATGGAAGATMATTTTTTGGTCACTCAAATCCAATTGCTATATTCTCTAAGTGCCTACAGTATGAAGACTCCCAGGGCAGATCGCACACTTCTGTTGGCTTTGTAAATGTGAACTTGTGTATGTTGGGCTCTTAACCATGGGGACAACATTGGTGATGTTGGCACCATGTTAATTATATACATTCTGTCCTCTCATTTGAAGACAGCCCCATAATCCCATGATGTTAGGTACCTCACCTTCATTTTACAGATGAGAAAACTGAGGCTCAGAGGTGGGGAGACCTGTACAAGGTCATGTGGCTGTTTAGTGGTAGTTAAAATTTGTACTTACATAGGCCAAGGCTGCCTGGTGACTCTGAGACACTAGTGTTCAATCTGTGGCCTTTTAAAATGGGAGGGAGAAAGACACTCATAGTTATCCAATGACATGCTAATGTTGTGGACAGTAGAGGAACTGCAGCTAGCTTGACTGTTTAGCAGATGTGAAATGCTGTGATTTTCTTGTGTTGTTATTGATGTACTTGTTCAAATTCCTGTTGAGAATGCACATTTGTTTTGAAACCAAACCTGTTTTTCTTGCCTACATTTCAGTCAGAACTAAGACATGGTCCGTTTTACTATATGAAGTAGCCACTCACCACAGACCCTGTTGATGTTATACCACAGAATGAACGGAATGATTTCTACTGCTGGGTTTGTCACTGGGAAGGCCAAGTCCTTTGCTGTGAGCTCTGTCCCCAGGTTTATCATGCAAAGTGTCTGAGACTGACATTGGAACCAGAGGGGGACTGGTTTTGTCCTGAATGTGAGGTTAGGTCCCAACGAATTAACATATTCTCTGCTTTGTTTCCTCTCTCTTCTCTTCCTTTGACTTACAAACTTTYTAATAATCCAGATAAGGGGAAAAAAAGATATTTCTTGCCTCCCACCTGTTCTGTCCTGGCCACCCCACTTTTGTACCAGCATCTTCCCCTGGCTGTGGTCCTGCAGCTYTTGGAGAAATGATCACATGGAATATTGTCTGGGTTCTTCTTGAGTCTTTGAATCACTTCGACATCTGTTGCTACCTTTCTTCTTCTGGAGTGCACATCTTACACGATAACTTTTGAACCGTTAACAGTTCACATGGTCTGAAATACTCTTGTACAGCTTCTCTTGGGTGTGCCCTGCTGCATCATGAGGTCAGCAACCACCGCCAACCTGGGATGCCCAGTTTGGGCCCTGTGTTCTGGGTGGTGGCCGTGCCATCTGAGTATTTCTTTCATACAACAAATATTTCTAAGGAGATGGGATAGTGCTCAGAAAATTAGGCACGGATCRCTTTCCTTTTAACAGAAAAGGACARAAGTGAAAATAAAGTTAGAAATAATGAGTTTGAAGAAAGGTGCAAATTGAAGACGGGGAGTAGGGAGTTCAGGAGCCGCAGGGCGTTCTATTTTAAATGTCCAGGCCTGGAAGGCCCCCCTGAGATTTGAGAAGTACCTGATGGAGGTGGGCCCTGCCGCCCTCTGGGGGAACCTTTTGGGCAGGGGGTGTGGCCTGGGCAGAGCAGGGGGACAGTGAAGGCAGYGTAGACTTCGTGGGTAGCCAAGAGCTGCTTGAAGCTAACCAGTCCCTGGACTTGCAGGGTTCTGAGGTGGCATCTGTTCTTGGCCACTCTGGACTGGGTGGCTCTTTCGAATGCTAACAAGAAGAGAATCATCTGAAAGTCWTTTGGTGTAGAATGTCTCTTGGATCCCAAGGCACGTTGGCCTAAGATTGCACATGAAGACGTGTCTGGGGAGCCCTGGAGGGGCTGCCTGGATGTTTTCTGTGGAAAAGAAAACAAATCACAGATAGTGTCCCTGCAGTCACTTCTGTGCAGGGAAAGGAGGAAAATAGAAAATAGGTGAAAAGCAATCAGGCATCGAGTTGGTCTGGTGAAGACCCTGGGATGGCACTCTGCCTCCGAAATGGCTGGAAGGTGGCTGCTGGTTCCCTTGGTCACTCTTCCACGGAGACAGAGATGGGCTGGGTGTCACCCACCCATGCCCGCCTGTGTTTGGAGCCAGATCTTTTTCTGCTACACCTAGAGCGAGACCTGGAACCTCCACCAGTGTCCTTTGGTCCTAAGCGACTGTTCTCATTTGTTTCATCCCATTGCAGAACAGGTAGTGGTCCTCTAAGTGGAAGACACTTCTGGCATCTCTTTGTCTAGCAGAAGGATTTTATCCTCATTCTCCAGCTGATTTATCCTGGCCTCAGGGTGAGCTTCCGATCCTCAGTTCCTATGCAACAAAGGCTTCTTAAGGGCTTCATATAGCACTTCCAGGCAGTGCCAGTCAGGAAGTAGGAGCAGGGGTGAGGGAGTGAGGGACAGTTGGGCATGTAACCTGAGTGTTCTCCTTGGGTGGAGCCCACAAACAAACTGCAATTCAAACAATCAGGACTTCTGCGTGCACGATCCACAGCCTGATTTTCTTCCAGGGTTGCCTGGTAAGGTAGGCTGCTGGCAAGACTAGCTCTTCAGGCTCTGGTAGCCCAGGGATGAGATGCGTGCATCGTGCAGCCTTTCTAACTTCCTAGTGACTCTTGGGTGGTCCTTCTCCTCAACAACCAACCAGACACATCTGAGAGTTCCCAGAGAAGTGAAGAGTGGAAAGAGTCCAAATTATCCAAGAAAACTTATCCACGCTCCTTTCACAGATGGCTGAGAAACATTGCATGACTTAGGAGCAGATGCTATTTTTGTTGTTGCTGGGATATGGGCCTTCTGAATCCATAAGATATGATATCACAGTCCCATGGCAGAATCCACTTTCATTATTTCTCTCGGTCTCCTCCTTGATGGGACTTTCCCTTTCGAAATGACATCTCTTGCCTGTGTGGACAGACAGGTAGATTCTACCCTTTGGAAATGTGCCCATGAATCCCAAGTTAGTTCACATCAGTGATGATGAACAATGGAGTCCTATTTAATTATTAGTCCACTCCCACCCCCAAGTTCTTCCTGCAGGGAGCCCTTTCTCTTGCCATCAGACAGTGCTGGGCCACGTTCCTGCACAATAGCTCTGAGTCTAAAGAGGCTCGAGATAAGCAACTGATGACAGATCATCTTGGGAGGAGATCCCTCCCCTGAATGCATCGGTGACCTTCCCATTCACATCCCCTYCTTGAGAACCAAGGTTGGGATAAGGATGCTTTTCCAGAATCCCATCTCCCCCAACCTCCCCCAGATCCTGTCATCTCCCTGAGCTGGAGACACTTGCTCCTAAGGTAGTCAGTGGGCTGGTTGCTTTCTAATGTCTTCCCACAGATCCAGTATATTATGGTCTGGTAGATTGGAGTCCTTGCCAAGGGAAACAGCTATTCACATTTAGATGGGAACCTCTTCTTATGTGTATGTTTAAAAAAAAAGAAAATAAAAAGTAGAAGGAGAATAAATCCATGGCTCTGTGATTTTCTTTTTCTAACCGGATGTGTGTGTATGATTTTTGACTTGTAGAAGATTACAGTAGCAGAGTGCATCGAGACCCAGAGGAAAGCCATGACAATGCTCACCATTGAACAGCTCTCCTACCTGCTCAAGTTTGCCATTCAGAAAATGAAACAGCCAGGGGTAAAAGGATTGGTCCGCCGGTGTAAGCATAAATGAAGATAAGACTCCATTAATTCTGTTAGCAGCTTTCCGTGTTGCTTGTCGGCTTTGCTTTTCAGATTCCTCTCCGTGTTTTTTGGACTTGTCTTGTGTGTTCCCTTTTTAAATATGTCAAGTAAACATCAGGTATGGTGCCATTCAGTGAGTTCTCTGTAGTGAGCTCTCCGTGTCCCCAAAGAGATTAGTCAGGAAATAACAAGAGGTTCAGTAGTCAGTGGGGCCTTAAAGTCCTGATGGGTTGAGAAGTAGAACTTCACAGCCTCTTGACTCTGAGGGCTGTATGCTCCTTCCCTCAGCATGGATGGAATTCTGCTTCAGGGAGAGGAGGACATCCCTGTTTATTTATAACTGAGGTCTGGTGTGGAACCAGGGAGATTTCCATAATGGGTGAGAATCTGGTTAGTTCCGTCAATTGTGAAATGAGTTCTGCTGAACAGCCTTTCCTACTTTTGGAAACTGTATGACAGCAAGGCTGCCAGGCTTGKCTGTGCCCTCACATGGCACCCTGCTGGGAGTGTCTGACATACCCTAGGTATGTCTGTTATTATTATGATAGTTTTCAGGAAAATGGCAGAGGAATGTCTCTGTCAAAAATAATATGATGATATGATGGACATATTATGACTGTCTTTCTCCAGATGAATCTAAAGAAGCTTAAGGATGGGTCCCTCCTTTCTGATTTGCTTTCTAAGTCATGTGCATATGCAGTAGCTGAGTATCTCATTGTTTTTAGTGACCACTRTGGTTTTGTTTCTTTAAACAAATAAAGTTTTGCTTTGAGATATTCTGAAATTTGTTATGATGAAGAAATTTAAGATGTGCCAATTAGATATTGAATTAGTTACCTATTTATCTCTTGAATTAAATCGCAATTGATGGAAGCAAAACTGTGCTAGTAGCTTTAGTTTAGTTTAAAAACAAAAATCTTGGGCGAGGAAAGGAGTTTGCCTAGTATGTGTGAGGCCATGGGTTCAATCCTTGGACCATAAAAAAAAAAAATCTTATTATTTTTTTTTTTTTTTACTGTAGAGTGATTGAGCGTGATGACTATTTACAAAAAGAACAGAGTATGTAGATTTGTCAACTCTGTCAAGTTTTAAAGCTAAGGACAAATAGAAAAAAAGCTTTACTTTCTCACTCTGTTTGATGTAAAGTCACAAATTTTGTTGAAACCTCCATTCTGGAACTCGGGGCCTGGCACACGCTAGGCAAGTGCCTTTCCCATGAGCCATACCCCTGCTCTGGAGCATTTTTAAAATTTACAGTGGTCAAACTTTCATTCTGGATTGAAGTGAACACAGGTGATTGCAAAAGGAAATCTGTCCCGATTCTTTGCTTGGGTATAATTTGGTATTTAATTAAATCTTTGGATTTAAAAAGAAAAAAAATTGCTAAGTAAATACCACCCAGCCATCTTGAGCTGAGTCCAGTTAGAGCTTAAGCAAATGGGTGAAGGTAAAGACTTTTTGCMCACTTCTTGTACTGAAGGCAATTTGACCTCTGAAAACAGGAATGAAATCTCACTGTCTAGATTTCCCATCATATCAGAAACATCTGTTGGCACCCAAACAACGTTGTCTGATGTGTCATCTTTAGGTGTGAACACATTTCCCCCTCAAGTCAGTTTTGGTGATGAGTCCCTCTAGGGTGTCTAAAGTGACCCCTGGTGTGTTGGGACTCTCAGCCTCACTGGAAGGGGACAGAACCTGCTACTTGGGTGTATGTTGATAGTAAAGCAAATAATAAAACCCTAACCAGTTCATCTGGGCCCAGGATTATCAACATCCAGGCAGCCTGGGATCGTGGCCAGTGGAGCTGCCTATGGCCTCCTTCCTGGCAGTTTTGGAGAGGTTCTCTTCAGCTTCTCAATCCCATGTTGGTTGGAGTATGGTCTTCCTGGCCTGTGCATGTGTACCTTTTCTCTTACAGACAGATGCATTCCAGGAGCCCGTTCCCTTGGAACAGTATTCCGACTACACAGAATATATTATCCACCCCATGGACCTTTGTACACTGGAAAAGTTTGGCCTCTGTCTCAGAGCCTCCCGTGTTAGCCCCGGGTGTGGAGATGCCAATGCAGCTCCTCACTTCCAAGTTAGATCAGTTTTATTTGGAGAGAAGAACTCTTGGGCCTCTCACTTCRTTTCCTCTGTGACGTCCTTCCAGAGGATGAGGGTGTCCTGGGAGATGTGCTCACTGCTCTTCTGGGAGTGATTCCAGCTTCTACTTGAAAGAGCCATACTTCTAGGAATTAGCGATTTGATCTATTTGCGCCTTATATCCTCTTCTCTTTCTTTTGGAGGTGCTAATGAGAGCAGCAGGAAGGAAGAAGAGAACATTCAAGTTGCTAGGAAAACTCCAGATTAGCAATAAGGACGTGGTTTCTTAGAATTGGCTTCTCAGACGATAAGGCTATTTTGTTAATGCCTGAAGGTGTTTTTCCAAGTTCATGCTAAAATTGCATGGTGAAAATTATATTAGTAATACTTTAGATTGTGCGCACCACCATGGTGCTGATCTCAATATGGGTAATGAAAAGTTATCTATGAAGAGGACACATTGCTGRGTGTGTTGGTGCACACCTGACATCCCAGTGACTCAGGAGGCTGAGGTAGGAGGATTGCAAATTCAAGGCCAGCCTCAGCAACTTAGTGAGACCCAGACTCAAAATGATATAAAAAATGAAAAGAAGGACTGGGGATGTGGCTGAGTTGTAGAGTGCCCCTGGGTTCTTCCCTAGTAGTCCCACCAAAGAAGAAGAGGATATATCTTTCATACTATTGGCATAGTGTTGTGTGAAGTGGGAATGGTGATGTGTGCTTCCTTGAGTTTTCAGGAGGCTCATGTGAGACCTGTCTTTAAAATAAATACAAATAGAGAAATCAACCTCTTCTTGGAAGGAACCTCTTAACAAATGACAGCAGTGTTAAGATGAGAAAATTCAAGTTCCTGTGATGAATTCAGTGGTGAATTTTTTAAAATAGGGTCATAGATCTCACAATAATAGGATCATGGGAAATGAGTGGACAAGCCTTAATCAATTTGCYGAGTGGTGGTGAGAGGATGGTATGAGGGGCAGGCGGTTCTGCTTGGTATGGAGCCACTGCTTACTGTGCCCCATGGCTTCTCGTCCCAGAACACTAAAAAGAAAATGTACGGCTGCACAGAGGCCTTCCTAGCTGATGCCAAGTGGATCTTGCACAACTGCATCATTTATAACGGGGGGTGAGTGGCCGCATGGTGCCCTCGCGAAGAACTGGGCTGCAGAGTTGAGCATCAGGCTTCAGGGGACCAAGGACACTGTGTGCGCATGGCCATGGCATGTGAACGGGGCCAGTGCAACCTGCACAGTAAGGCATGAGCCGACGTCCACTGCTCCATGATGCGTGGTTTGCGCTCTGACGGTCATCTCCAAACTCCGTAATTGAACGGAGGTAGAAATGTCAGGGAAATACACAGGTTCATGAGCAAGTTCAGTGACTTGGACGGGCGCAGGGCCACACCTCAGGTCAGGTGGAGGCTTTGMAGTCCATCTCCTGTTTCTGCTGGAGCTCTGCTCTCCCTCTGTGGCCTAGAGTTCCAGATGGACAGGTTGGGGGGTGCTCTCGGTGTGAGGGCGCACACCCTGCATTGGGATTTGGCGTGACTAAGGATCTTGCTTTTGTTGTTGCCCGTTGATCTTTCACGTGGTCAGCATGCCGTGGTCGGTCCCTTACCCCGGTTAATGATGGATGATCCTGTGGTCTCTGTCTTTGGGTTCCGTCTTTGGGTTGTTGTGGAGGAAGCTGCCGGGGACTCCTGTGGTGCCCGTGGCTCTTGGCTGTCTGGTGCTGGACCATCGAGTGGGTCATCTTAGCTTCAGGAGCACTCTTGTCCCAGTGTGTGTGCACAGGGCTCATGTCAGTGTGCTCCACGGGCAGGCATGTGCTGTCCAGCCACCCCACATCCTGGCCCTGCCTAGCTTTTGACATGGCCATTCTTGGGTGACGTGAAATGTCTCCTATGTCACCAGGGGTTTTGATTTGCCTTTTCCCCAGGGCCAGGAACTGAGTCATCATTTCATGAACTTCACATTAATTTGTGTTAGGGTGAAACCCCCCAACTGTTCACTCAGAAGCTGGGCTGTTGCGCTCTGTGGCTCACTGCTGGTGTCCTTGATGTGCTGGATCTAGTGCTGACGGTTGTGTTCATGGATTTGGAGGATGGAGCCTTCTGGCCAGAACTGAGGAGAATTTCCACTGATTTTTCCTCTGGGCACCTCCCTTAAGGTTATATTCTGTCTGCCTCTGGCTGGGCAGGTCTCCCTGTCCTGCCCACCTGGTGCCCTAGTCTGCAGGTCAGCTTGTACTTGTGCTGGGTGGTGCCTGCTAATGACCCTCCACCTGCTTCTCCCTCCCTGGCCTTCTCTGTGACTCAGCCTCTCKGCCTCTAAGACTCCTTCTCTGAGGCCCCAGGCCATTGGAGGTCTCTGTCCTAGGCTTTCTACTTGCCTGGCTGCATCACCATGATTCCCGAGTGGTGCTGTTTGTATGTGCTTGATCTCTGCACCCAGAGGTGACTCCTCCAAGGTTGGGTCTGACTGTTGTTCGCTGTGAATGAGTGGCCAAGTGCAGACCCTCAGCCAGTGTTCCAGGGGAGCTCCCTGAGAAGGAGCCCACATACTGCATTGCAAACTCCTCAGCTGCAGGGGCAGGAGAAAGGGGAGGTACTGGGTGGTGAGCACAGAGAGGCCCGTTGAGCATGTGAGAGAGTGAGTGGGGTAAGAGTGAAGGAGAAGACCAGCAGCCACAGGGATGGGCAGTGGAGTGAGGGGAGCAGGGACTCCTGGTTGTTTGTAGAG